TCATCAGCAAAATGTCAAGTGCCCCCAGCAAGCTTTATATCTTAAAATAATTCATTGCATTTAGAATAATGAAGAATACTTTTTCTTTTATTACTTAGCAAATATAGAATTGATTTCCATTACCTTATAACATAAGTAAACATGAGATAAGTAGAGGAAATTAAGCAGATGACAAGTTCAAAGAAAAGGGAATACTAATGTGGGCAGTGGCAGGTCGTGCTCTTGAATGCTAACGCTCAGGTCATACGTGCACGGGAAGAGGGAGACCAGGAGGAAGGAGCAAAGGCTGTGAGTGGTGGGTTCAGAGTGACGGTTAGCTTTAATGAAAACCTTAACCTGAGGGCCTCCCCTTCGTGCTTCATCAATCAAAGTTGGTGTTTTAGGAAAGCTCCTCTGGTGGTAATGTTTAGGAAGAGACTAAAGATAAAGATATTAATTTTCTGGTGAGGCCTGGACACTAAAAGATCCTGAAGTGATTGAAGACCTAGAGTCTAGGTCAGTGGTCGGCAAACTGCGGCCCTTGAGTGTGGCTCTTCCACAAAATACCACGTACGGGCGCACACATACAATGCGATTGAAACTTCGTGGCCACACTCAAGGGGCCAAAGAGCTGCATGTGACTCGCGAGCCGCAGTTTGCTGACCACTGGTCTAGGCAATAGATTGAACTAACTGAATATAGGGAATAGAAGACTTGGAAATCTCCAAGATGACTTCACTTTCTTCTAAGTGAAGAATAGAAAGGAATAGAATTACCCAACAAAGGATTTTCTTTTATTTGAAAGTGAATATTTTTGAGGGGATGATTTATTTTTAGTCATAGTAAATATATGTCTGAGGTCTGAACTGTAGAGAGAATGCAAACCATGCAGCCATCTATCTCAGATACTGCTGATGCGGTCACAGGTGGGGGTCATAGAGGTGTTCATGCAGCTTCTGAAATCATTGTCACCCTTTCATATTCCTCATTGTAAAATAAATTAACAGTTTGCTTTGGTTGAATGCTTTTTTGTTACCTAGAGAATATGTAGGATGATTGCTTTTGAGTGCTCCTAAAATGCCAAGGGGAGCAAAGGGAAAGGGAAAGTAGTAAGAGCGAGAGGTTTGAGAGACTAACATAGACCAATTTCATTGTATCTTTTTTTTTCTTTTCAGAAGTTGTGGAGGTCTCACAGTATAGCCCTCTTTTTAATAAACTTCTGGATGCCTGTGTAGAAAGCAATAGTCTTGGTATTTCATCCTCCGTAGCAGAATTCATGATTTCAAAGAGTATCCCTATTGATTTTTCCTCTCTTAGAAGATTAATTACTTCTTTAGGAAGGAGTTGTTTATGGCTCAAAGCCAGAACCCACTACAAAAGTAAGTTGCATTTAAAAATATTTTTTTTTGATATATTGGTTTTGACTTTGATTTTCTAACCCTGAATCCTTATATAATATTTACAACCAGATATTCAAATATGTACAAAGAGCAGTTAATATACACTCAAAGACCACTGTAGCTATTCTGGTTTTTTAGTTATTCTGAAATTGTTGTGTTGGCTTTAGCTTCAAATGTATGGTTGTCATGATGAGGCTCAACAGTCGTTTTTCAGAGTTTTTTAAACATTTCTCACTTCATATTTAACATTTGAAAACACTGTACAAAGAATAATTTTAAATGTACTAGGATATAATCACTACCATATAATTTGTGAGATAAATCTGCTTCTAATGAACAGTTATTCTGTACTGTAAGTAATTGTAACCTACGGACATTTTGGAAGTCTAGATTTTCACCTATTGGAGTTTTAGTAAAGTTTGATCTATTATTTGATTTTCAGGTGCTCTTTCATTGAGTTGCTATCCACCATTAGAGGGAAATTTATACCGAAAACTTCTACGGATTCCTTCTTATTTATCTGAGGTTGAAATGCTTTTAGCTATTGAAATCTTCCTGGTATCGAATTCTAGTAGTATTCAGAGTCCTGGTACTCCTACCCAGACGCTGCAGATAGTTTTGAAAAGGTTGGTTGACATAACTTATAATTGCATCCTGAAAGCAGATCATGACTGCCTACACATTCCCTAGGAAGTAGATGATTTATATATTTATATAATTGTGTAGTGTATATTTACAAACTTGGTAACATTTAAATTAAGAAAGAATGTGACCTGTTTGAGACTTAAAACCAAAGCATTCAATAAAAACTTAAAAAAAAAAAACTTTTAACAACTTTAGAGATGCTGTAAATGGTTCAAGAGATGAGTCCTCTTTAGGTATCAATCCTTTTCATATACTGGTAGTTTTTAGATGGATATCTAAAAGTTATCTTTTTGGTCAACACTAAGATCTAAAAGGGAAATATGTGATAGTTTATTAGGTTCAATTAACCTAGTTTCTGTATTTTAAAATGTTGTTATAAATGCATAAATAGTATTGTGTAGCTGTTGAACCACACTAGTATTCCTTCAAATAATTTTGTTCAAAGCCCCAAAATTTAGGCTTATACCATTTCTTATCAGTCTTACCCAGGAAACTTGTAATATAAGGATCTCATGGGACTCCTCCTTTAGAGCTGACAAGAATTTTGCTTCAGTTTATTGGTCTTACAAACCAGATCCTCAGATTGAATATTCTTTCAGCTATCTATTACTATGTATAAATTATCCCAAAACTTAGTGGCTTAAAACAGCAAATACTATTTTATGTTTCTATGGGTCAGGAATTTTGGAGTAGCTTAAGCAGGATGGTTCTGGCTCTGGATCTGTCCCGGAGTCAGGATGTGATCAGGAGCTGCAGTCACCTACCTGATGGCTTGACTGGGGCTAGAGGATCCGTTCCCTAGATGGCTCACTCATGAGGCTGTTGGCAGGAAGCCTCAGTTCCTTGCCACATGGGCCCTTCCATAAGTTCCTTGAGTGTCTTCATGACATAACAGCTAACTGCTCTCAGAGTGAGCAATCCAGGAGAGAAAAAGCAAGGAAGAAGCTGTGCTTTCTATGATCTCTGTCAAGAACTCTGAAGGCTCTGAGATTTTACCCTATTTGCAGGCTACGAGCAGTTTCATGGATCCTAGCATGACACCAGACTCCTGGGTTGGAAACAGAGGACTTTATTACTCTAGTGCAGCAAGCAGCATGATTATCTGCATATTTGTATCTCTCTTGTCCCCAAGTCCCACAGATAGACCCAGAGGATACCTGCACATGCAGTAGGTTCTATTACAGCAGAGGAATCCTGCACTTAGAAAACCCAAATCCTGGGTAATAAGCATGCCTGCCCCTCTGCTCTGCACAGAAACAGTCTCCATCTTGAAAGGTTGTAACAAACCTGTCCTTTGCTCCAGAAGGAGAAACTCTTTTCTTTCAAGATTGTTCATTACATAAACATCATTGAAATCCAGAAGAAGGAGTAGTCAGTGTTTCTGCTCTCAAAACTTTGGGAAATGCAAGGGGCCCGTGGAGAATTGTCATCTAACCACCTAATGTCCAGAGTTGTACACTGTCATGTCTGCTTCATTCTATTTGTGATAAATCAGGCATTTCATCTCGCCTATATACAAAACAAATTAGGAAATAATTTAAGGCCATTTTTGTTGTTGTTGACACTATTAACAAATGTTCCCATCCCTCTCCCCACCTTAGCCCACCTCAGCTCAGTCCCCACTCCCCTTTCCCTCCGGCCATCACCACATTGCTATCTGTTTCTGTGTGTCATGCATATATGTTGTGGCCTTCTTTCATACAGTGCCCCTCTCCCCTCTGACAGCTGTCATTCTGTTCCATGTACCCATACCTCTGTTTCTATTTTGTTCAGCAGTTGATTAGGGCTAGGGCCATCTTCTTTTTTAAACCAACGAAAATTGGCCTTTTTCCCCCCCTTCATTATGTCTTGTTTTTATGAGGGCTTCCTTATTTACCCTGCACACTGCAGTGGCTGAGGCACTGGGCTCCCATCATCCTAATGAGGATGTGGTTTTCTCATAGGTTTTCATCCTCCACATATATGCAGCCTCTGTACTTGTTGTTGGATTTTAGGGGTATTTGTGACCCCATCTTTAATTTTGTCCAAGCCAATATTGCTTTCTCTTATTATCATACTGAGCCCCATCTTGTTATAATAACCTCTATGAGAAAGAATTTTATTCATCCTTAAGGGTTTCAAAAAACTGCACACAGTTGGCACATGCTCAATCTACCAGGTTCTATGCACTAATTCCTAAGCCAGAAGGTACTAGAAAGCTCTTGACCAATCTTTCCTTTCTGTGACCCTTGGGGTTCCTTTTCCTCACTCCCACCACTCTGTAGACCACACCGTGCTGTTAATGCAGATAGGATTTGCTGCTGGACCCTATAGATGCCAAGAGCAGGATTCAGCAAACACAAAAAGTGATGCTTAATATAACAACCACATCTCTATTTTAAATATTTCCCACTCCCTATCCCATAAGGGGAAAAAATCATTCGGTATGGATTTTATGAAATTTGAAGACTAGTAGAAAAGTTTTTAGAAAAGTAAATTTTAGCAATTTGTGAAGTACCTTAAATCAGGGCTGAAGAAAAATAACCAGAAATTTAGTAAAGGAACACTGTAATTTCTGTTACCAAATGTTAGCTACATAGTATGTTTACAGTCAACAATAGGCAATGTCAAGGTAAAACATGTCAGTAACTCCAAACCTGATTAAATTCAGTATTCTATGCATTATAATGAAAAATTGTGCAATTTTTAACTCTGAAAATACAAAGATTGAGGTTATTAGCAGTGTTCTAGATCAGTGTTTTTCAGACCGTGGGTTGTAGCCCATTGTGTGGTGCAATCAGTTTAGGGATTGCAACCACATAATTAAAAATGAGACAATAGAAAATAGAGTACATTGTCATAAGGATGCATCTTGTTTGCTGAAACTTTTCCATTTTTATGTATGAGGATTCTACTGGGTCCCAATACAAAAGATCTTTCTTATTGTGTCATGGTCAAAAAACTTTGAAAGCCACTGTAGGAGAATGTAGTGAAAAGTCTGCCATAACTAATAATAATAAATACAAATATCTTGAAGAAACTATCTAGCTTCTTTTCAAGTTTCTGACTTTGTGAGGTGTTTTTACTTTATAGATGTGAAGAAAACAAGTCTCAGAGCAAGGATGATTATCAAGCTGCAGTGGAAAGATTAATGAAGGCTGTTCGTTTATCAGACCCAAAGCTTTTCGTTAAGCACATGACCGTCAATGTTAATAAGGAGCAGGTTTATAGTTTGGAACATTGTTCTGCCCTGAAATGGTTGAAAGAGAACATGAAGTGGGCTGGAAAGGTTTGGCTTTTCAATAAACATTAGTTAATAGTTTATTTTTTAAGTTCAAGTAATCATTGTTGAAAATAAAAGGCAATAAAAATAAAGACAGTTTTCATTATATTCAGCTTTTGCCCTTTATTCATTTACAGTAAGTTAGTAGACTTCAAACACTAAAAATTTTGATTGATGTAAGCAATCTATAATAGTTTTACCCCCACTGAAGTGATTTTACAAATTACTTCTTTTTAAGTTAGGTAAGTCAACGTAAATACCTATTTATTTTGAAATTCAAACATTGAAAAATCATAAACTGAATGAATATTGTGCAGCATTTAATGAGAGGAAGACATAAAAGGAGAAATGTGCAAGCAGGTAACCAAGTATTCAGAAAAGCCTTTAGGGGTGTGAAATAGGTTGAGTGTATACTCCGTCCAGTTTCTAAAGCCTATTCCACATCTGTGATACAGAATAGTCAAGTAATGTTGAAAACTGACTCAAACACAAATTCCAGAATAACTTCTGAGTTATACCAAACTTTTTCAAGTTACCCTGTGAATAGTTTTCCTTTAGTGTATTTTAGAATGCTATATGTATTTTTAAAATACATTAGGTATGACTAAAGAAAACTTTTATTTTATTGTTGACACTTTTAAAGATGTTCCCATTTCCCCCCACCCTTTGCCCACCTCCAACCAGCCTCCACCCCACCCCCTTCTTTCTGGCCTTCCACACTTGTCTATGTCTGTGTGTCATGCATATATGTTCTTTGGCCAATCCCTTCACCTTCTTTCATCCACTTTTCACCTTCTTTCATCCAGCTTTCCTCCCTTCCCTCTCACAGCTGTCAGGTCAGTCTGTTCCAGTATCCTCCCCTCTGAAGAAATGTTACTTTAGACAGATATACGAGCACTTAAATATCCAAACAAGGATTGTCCCATACAAACCACCTTAGGAAGTTAAAACTCCTTTTCTGAAGTCATCTTCAGAATTTACCAGTCATTCTCTAAGGTGGTCATCTTCGGTCCTTAATTTGATACTTTAGATTTGCTACTTTAAACCATAATCATTTGGAGAAGAAGTCTGAATAAGGTGAATAAAAAAGAAAAAATAAGTCTTGACTACAGGGGCTGGAAGTATTTTTTAAAGGAGCTCCCAAAATATGGTAATGGCAGCACCCTCCGAATAAGTCTGTAACCTCACAAGACTGAAAAAGGTAAATCCTAGCGCATTCCCTTGCCATGGTAAGTGTGGCATGAATACTATTCTGGATGAAAGATGGGAAGTGAGATGGGAGACGTCACAAGGATGGCCAGTTCTCTAGCAAGAATAAACTGCATGACTATAACGGTCATTATTTAAATGCAGCCCTAGGAAAATGGTGTGGATATAACTACCATCAGTTTGAGGACAATGAATAATGGTAAACGGGCAATTATAAATTGGTCTTTTCTATAGGAGGTAACTGAAACCCAAAGAAAGGAATTAGAGAAACAGGAGACTGGTTAGGTGCTGACCGCAAAGAATCATTTGAAAAGATGAAGACGCGAGAGTTGATAAATGAAGCTTTTGGGGAAAATGAAACTGGTTGGAATGGATCACAAGTGACCAGATTGTTTCTAATGAGAAGTCAAGAGCCCCTAGGGCTGGAACAAATGGAGGCACTTTTATTTTTCTGGCCTCAGTCAACAATGCCAAAAGGTAGAAAGGGGAAAAGACAGGTTATTGTTTTTTGCCTAATTTCATCTGTAGCCATTTCTAGGGTTAATCAAAGTCCTAAGAGCGACATACAGCTAACAGCAAAACCCAAGCCGATGGTGGAGAGTGCTTAAGGTTTGAAAGATCATGAAAGGGCCAAAGTCCAAAGGAAAATGCAAACCGGAGAAGAGAAATTTTTAAAAATTAGCCTCAGCTCCGGAAACCCGGCGGGCGGATCTGCGGAGGCAGCCTCGGCCCTTCTTAGGGCGCCGGGCGTTGGCGGTTGGGGAGGTTGGGGAGGTTAGGGCCGGGGGAGTGGGGGCGCATGCGCGCGCCCTCTAGCGCTCGCTCCCTCCCGCCCTCCAGCGCGTGCTCA